GTAAATAAAGTTTTAACATTAACCATCACAGTGTAAATAAAGTTTTACTGACTCAGTAGAACATGTGTTTCTAGTCTCTGATCATGTTTCATTGTAAACAACCAATCAGTGTTTAAAGCAACAGGAGAGCTAGTAACGTTAGCAGCACCACTAATGGCTAACCAACAGGAGGAGAGCAAGTAACGTTAGCAGCACCGCTAACGGCTAACCAACAGGAGGAGAGCTAGTAACGTTAGCAGCACCGCTAACGGCTAACCAACAGGAGGAGAGCTAGTAACGTTAGCAGCACCGCTAACGGCTAACCAACAGAGGTTCACTTCAGTTACATGATGATGCCTTCAGGCTCTGCTCAGTGAACTTGAGTACTGGCTGAAGGTACATTATAACGTTATCATGATGTGTTCACATGTCATCTGTAAAATGTAGTTTTGGTGATAAACTTGAATAAATCCAGTAGTTTGAAGGAGATGTTTTCACATGAATATGAAACAGATATCAGAGATGAATATAATACGTTAATAAATTAGCAACGGTCTCTTTAGCGTCACCTCTTTCTCCAGGATGGCCTGGTGCTTCTTGGACAGCTTGTCGGCCTCGGTGGAGAAGCTGTTCCTCTGGTTCTCCAGCTCTTTGTCCAGCTTCAGCTGGTGCTCGTCCATCTCCGCCTTCAGCTTGTTCTCCAGCCCCATCAGCTGCTTCTGGTGCTGCCGCCTCATGCGCTTGTACCCGGACATCTGCTCCCGCAGAGCCGAGCCCTGCTCATGCTCCTGGATCTGACGGGTGACCTGTGAAGAGGGGGGAGGAACGGGGGGGTTAAAACACGGGCGCTTGATGCTGGGAGTTCATCTAAAACCTGATGGGACCCGACTGTCATATGCAGATGCTTGTGAACAGATGTTAAGCAGTGTTAATTGAACACTTTGAGACTTCTGCTGCTGAACAAACTTAAATAAAATATAAATCACATTCAGACCGTAGAGTCTCTTTCTTCACATGGAACTACGGCAATAAAATACGAGAATAAAGTCACTTTAACTTTGACTGATTCACATTCACAGATGAGAATCTGGATTCATTTTTACCAGAACATCAACAAACACCTCGAGGAGGAGGAGGAAGAGGAGGAGGAGGAGGAAGACTTACCAAGGAGGCGGTTCGGATGGTGGCAAAGTGGTCCCGGTTGCGGTAATAAGCTCGACGCCGTCCAGCTGAGGGAGCCTGAGGTTGGTCCATCTCTGGCTGGTAGGGGTCATCATAGATGTTATCCTGACCCTGAGGAAGAGGAGGAGGTGGTGGTAGGGATCAGTGATCTCTAAAAGTTATATTCATTATATATAAACATCTATATTGTTAGTATTTGTACTGATCTGATCCGTGATTTATGATCCGTTGAACCTCTTTTTCGAAGACAACTCAAGTTTCAATGGCTACTAAAGCTCTGATGTTCCTACAGGCGATGAGGAGTTCAGGCTGTTTGTGTACCGTGGGTCGGTGGATGATGGAGCTGTTGGAGGTGTGTTTGTGTATCGTGGGTCGGTGGATGATGGAGCTGTTGGAGGTGTGTTTGTGTATCGTGGGTCGGTGGATGATGGAGCTGTTGGAGGTGTGTTTGTGTACCGTGGGTCGGTGGATGATGGAGCTGTTGGAGGTGACGGTGTGCTCGCCCTCCTGCATCATGGCCATCTCGTTGCTGCTGTCGTCGGAGGCGTCGGCCAGACTGTTGACCGAGCTGCTGTGGGAACTGGCCGAGATGGACATACTGGGCACCGACTGGGAGCTCTCCATGCTGTTGACTGTTCCCGTCCGCAGAAGGTACGTCTCCACCTCCTGACACAAAGACACAAAGACACACATACTGGATTCAGCTGCAGAGAGACATTTATTAGCCCTCTGAACCCCAAAGCCCACCGGCGAGATAGAAAAGCATGTTTTATTTAAACAATAACCAAAACTACATCGTTCATCACAACCAGAAGCTCATTATTGTCAGATTTTCATCTTTCAGACGGTCCTTGAACACATCATGTGTGATGAACGGTTCCGTCAGAAAAAGCAACCGAACAGAAGCTTAAAATTTATATTTCATCAAAAACATTTTATTCTTCATGTTCTCATTATAAATGTCTCCTCTAATAAAGAGTTCACTTTAACCAGAGTGTGTAGAAACATTAAAGTGTGAAACTATGACGTCATGATTGATTCATCTGAGACCAACAGTCATGTGACAACAGACCAGAGAGCAGCAAAGCTGATATTTTCTAAACGCAGAGGAAAATTCAAAATGTATAGGTGTATTTGTGTCTATTTGAATCTCTGATGACTCATGCGTCTCTATTTTATACTTCCTCTCTTTGTGCTCTTTCCTCCTCAGTCCCCACATCTCCTCTTTCCTCCTCCCTTCCTCCCAGTCCACACTAGGACTTCCCCTCTTCCTCACCTCCTCATCGTCCCCTCCCTCGGACACGGGCCCGTTCTGCTGCGTCTCCTGGAAGAGGATCTTCTTCATCTTGCGGTACTGCAGGTTGTCGAGCTCTCTCACTGCGTCTTTGGTGCGAGCGATCAGGTCCATGATGACCGTCAGAGGACGCTCGCGGCAAAGGAAGCGATGCTGCAGAGGAGGAAGGAGGGGAGGAAGGAGGGAAGGAAGGAGGGAAGGAGACGGCAACATGAGCGATGAAGACGAAGGGTTTACATCTGGTGAGATGAAGCTGGGTTGGTTCTCACATTCAGCAGCACGTCAGAGGTAGGCCGGTCTTGGGGAATCTTCTGCAGGCAGGAGTCCACGAAGTTGCGGAAGGAATCAGACCTGCAGAGAACAATAGGATTATTCATTCCATCTCATTTCTAAAGCCCAAAATCACAAACGTGCCTCCGAAGGCTTTACAGCATGTAGACACGCGACGTCCTTCTGGAGCCAGACGACAGTTCTGATTATTTAAAAAACGATTCAACCACAAAGTTCACGTTCTGGTCTTGAACTTTGAAGAATACGAAAAATAAAATACGATTTTAAACTGTAAAATATAAGACCTCAAATATCAAAATATAAATGAAAGATAATAAATAATTTAGTCAAAACAATTCCAGAACTGAGTCAAAATTATATTAAACTACTTTGAACACTTTGTTCTATTTTAAGACCAAAACTTGAACTTTCAAATGATCAAAACTATTCTGCTCTGGATTTAGTCCCGAGACCCTCACAGGAAAAACTCCCCTAAAAACCTTTATGTCATTTAATAATAATAATAACAATAATAACAACAGGAAAAGAGGAAGGAAAGAATGAAAATACTGCAAACTAAGCAGATTATTATACATCATTAAAACTACCAATGACTCTGATCCGTGACTCTGATCCGTCACTCTGATCTGTGAGTTTTAGGATCCGTTGAATCTCCTTTCAGCTCCATTTTAATGGTTTTAAACTGGATGTAAACGCAGCAAAAGAAATGTGCTTGAAAACAGAAAGGTAGGAGTGAGGAGGCAGCCTTACAATGAGACTGACTCTTGAGTTAAGATCAAACTGAGCAGACGTTCTCACCAGTGGTTGGACTGAAGGATGGGGCTTTCATTCTGAGCGATGTGATATAAGGCACTCATAGCATTCATGTTGAACAGAGGGGGCTTCCTCTCCGCTGTGGAACAAGCAGAGAGCCAAGCATTAAAGAACCAACGTGTGGATTCATCAGCTGGTCTTTATAGGACCACAGTTATTATTACCCAGCTCTATGGAGGTGATGCCCAGCGACCAGACGTCCACCTTCCCGTCATACTGGCCCTCGTCCATCGCCAAGATCACCTCCGGAGCCATCCTGAAGAAAACACAAGAGCCTCACGGTGAGCCTTCATCTGCAGACCAACGGTTTCTCTTTGTCTGCTGGAGGCCATCGTCAGAAACATCACGACAGATGAAAACGTCTGTGAATGTTATAACTTTACATGGACATCAACGGAAATAAGAAAACAAATCAATCATTTAGTTCAACTTAAATTAAATCACTTAAAGCACTGAAATAAATAAATACCACTTATTACGCTGTTATATCACCAAACACGGTCTGAGAGGACGACCCGCTGAGTCGACCTCATTCACAGATGTGTTTCTCCTCAAAGAATCACTTTAAGCCTCATTCAGCATGAAAACAGCTGCTCGCCGGGTATAATGTAGTAACTATTAATCATAATAATGATCTGAAGATCTTTTAGTGAAACTGAGGGATGACATCACAGCCTGTAATGAACAAATACAAACTTTTCTCATTCGTCGCTGAGACACAAGAACAGTTTCCAGGTTGAAAAGTTCAAACTCTGGGATTCTGTTAAAAACCTTTTTTAATTCATATTCATGCGATATAAAAACATAAATAAGGCTTCAGAGGAAAAGTATGTTTAGGGGAGAAGGCTTTTATTTTGGAGGGTTTGTTGTTGTTCTAATGAGTCGACTCATTTAATTAAAGTTCAACTCAATTTAAGTTCACTTGAACTCTTCATTCCTGTCAGAAGGTTGATATTTACATCTGTTAACGTTAAAGGTTTGTTTGTTTCTGTGTTAACATGTTGAACACAAACCTTTATTTACATTTATTCCCGTTATTGATTATTGATTCTCTGACCAGTTCTCTGTTACACACGTAGACACAAACACATGGAAGAACAGAGTCCATGTGAACTTTGACCCTTTACAGCCTCAGACATGTGACACCTGATTAGTTTTAGAAACTTTCACAATAAAATCCTAAAGTTGGGATTTAAAGACGTCTTCCCGTTCCAACATGCTCATTGAGTAAATGCAGTTCCAGTCTCACCAGTACGGAGTCCCCACGAAGGAGTTGGCCGGAGCCACGATGGAGGCAGAACCAAAGTCCCCCAGTTTGACCTGACCGGGCTCCGTCAGCAGGATGTTTCCTGCTTTCACGTCCCTAAAAAACCCAAAACCACACGTTAGCGCCATCGGATGCTACATGTAGCATCCTTAAATGTTAATATATACCGCTGTTAAACAGTAGAACAGAGTGAATCATCACCACACATCAGAGTGTGTTGAAGAGGCCGCTAATCGCTTTGTTTTGTAGTCGTTAATGCTAAGGTTTCAAAATAAGAGCCTCACCTACATTGTTTAAGCTCATCTATTTTATCTTATTTTTATATTTACGTGGTTATTACAAAATGTTTATGTTGTTTATATTTATTTATGTTTGAACTTGTCTATTTGTATTTACTAATAGTTTGTGTATAATGTGTTTATTGTGGAGGGGTTGACAGGATTATGGGTGTTCAGAAGTGAAAAATGTTCTTAGAAATATTCAAATATTAATCAGAACACAATTGATGGATGTTAAAATGGAGCATGTGACACATTGTAGCCAATAAACGTATTCCAGCCATGTGAGGAGCAAACAGTGTGTTTACCGGTGGATCATGTTGTGAGAGTGAAGATATGCTAATCCCTGCAGTGCACCATGGGTAATAGCAGCTATTTCCATCTCCTGGAGCGGCTTTTTGTGGACTGGGAGGACGAGAAGAACACGGAGAGTCAGAGACAAAACAAACAGATGAATAAATCATGTTTTAATATCTGATGAAGAGACAAACTGACCTTCCAGGAGGTCTGAGGCCGAGCCGAGGCAGTACTCCATCACCAGCTGAAACACACGTCATTTACATTTACAGTTGTGTGAAAAAGTGTTTGCCCCCTTCCTGATTTCTTATTTTTTTGCATGTTTGTCACACTTAAATGTTTCAGATCATCAAACAAATTTAAATATTAGACAAAGATAACACAAGTAAACACAAAATGCAGTTTTTAAATGAAGGTTTTTATTATTAAGGGGGAAAAAAATCCAAACCTACATGGCCCTGTGTGAAAAAGTGATTGCCCCCTAAACCTAATAACTGGTTGGGCCACCCTTAGCAGCAACAACTGCAATCAAGCGTTTGCGATAACTGGCAATGAGTCTTTTACAGCGCTGTAGAGGAATTTTGGCCCACTCATCTTTGCAGAATTGTTGTAATTCAGCCACATTGGAGGGTTTTCGAGCATGAACCGCCTTTTTAAGGTCATGCCACAGCATCTCAATCGGATTCAGGTCGGGACTTTGACTAGGCCACTCCAAAGTCTTCATTTTGTTTTTCTTAAGCCATTCAGAGGTGGACTTGCTGGTGTGTTTTGGATCATTGTCCTGCTGCAGAACCCAAGTGCGCTTCAGCTTGAGGTCACGAACAGATGGCCGGACATTCTCCTTCAGGATTTTTTGGTAGACAGCAGAATTCATGGTTCCATTTACCACAGCAAGTCTTCCAGGTCCTGAAGCAGCAAAACAGCCCCAGACCATCACACTACCACCACCATATTTTACTGTTGGTATGATGTTCCTTTTCTGAAATGCCGTGTTACTTTTACGCCAGATGTAATGGGACATACACCTTCCAAAAAGTTCAACTTTTGTCTCGTCAGTCCACAGAGTATTTTCCCAAAAGTCTTGGGGATCATCAAGATGTTTTCTGGCAAAACTGAGACGAGCCTTTATGTTCTTTTTGCTCAGCAGTGGTTTTGGTCTTGGAACTCTGCCATGCAGGCCATTTTTGCCCAGTCTCTTTCTTATGGTGGAGTCATGAACACTGACCTTAATTGAGGCAAGTGAGGCCTGCAGTTCTTTGGATGTTGTTCTGGGGTCTTTTGTGACCTCTTGGATGAGTCGTCGCTGCGCTCTTGGGGTAATTTTGGTCGGCCGGCCACTCCTGGGAAGGTTCACCACTGTTCCATGTTTTCGCCATTTGTGGATAATGGCTCTCACTGTGGTTCACTGGAGTCCCAAAGCTTTAGAAATGGCTTTGTAACCTTTTCCAGACTGATAGATCTCAATTACTTTGTTTCTCATTTGTTCCTGAATTTCTTTGGATCGCAGCATGATGTCTAGCTTTTGAGGATCTTTTGGTCTAACTCACTTTGTCAGGCAGGTCCTATTTAAGTGATTTCTTGATTGAGAACAGGTGTGGCAGTAATCAGGCCTGGGTGTGGCTAGAGAAATTGAACTCAGCTTTCCAAAGATGTGATAAACCACAGTTAATTTATGTTTTAACAGGGGGGGGGCAATCACTTTTTCACACAGGGCCATGTAGGTTTGGATTTTTTTCCCCCTTAATAATAAAAACCTTCATTTAAAAACTACATTTTGTGTTTACTTGTGTTATCTTTGTCTAATATTTAAATTTGTTTGATGATCAGAAACATTTAAGTGTGACAAACATGCAAAAAAATAAGAAATCAGGAAGGGGGCAAACACTTTTTCACACAACTTTATATCCATAACAGCAGCTTTAATAAACTTTTATATCCATAACAGCAGCTTTACTAAACTTTTATATCTATAACAGCAGCTTTAATAAACTTTCATATCAGCAGCTTTAATAAACTTTTATATCCGTAACAGCAGCTTTACTAAACTTTTATATCCATAACAGCAGCTTTACTAAACTTTTATATCTATAACAGCAGCTTTAATAAACTTTTATATCTATAACAGCAGCTTTAA